CTTTGCATAAATGTCATTGAATGTGCTCCTGACTTGCTGCTACCGTGGAAATAGAGGCTTGTCATAGACTCATTACTATATTTATAAAAGATTTGGTCACTTGTGGTTTCTAAGGCTTAAGAAACAACTGGATTCCCAGCCAATAAAATGATCCAAACCTGTCTAAGATGGATGGTAGATTAGGGTTTGGGTGCTATTATTATTTAATAGTAAGGTCTCTGAGTGGACTGGTGACAGGGTATCACCTGGGGAAGTGATCTTGGCTGTCAAATAGCATCCATTCTACTGTAGACCATCTTAATGGGACACTCAGCCAGAGAGAGGGGGGGGGCAGAAAGAGACAGAGAGAGAAAGAGCGAACAAGAGAAAGAAAAAGACAAAGAGAGAGGGATAGGCAGAGAAAGACAGAGAGATTGAGTCTTGCCATCACTATCATTGATTATCTTTGACAGTTTCACACTTACTGGATAACAGGCCTGGAGGAATCCCAGGAGATGTCTGTGGAGATGCTAAGGAAGTAGAGAGCCTAGTTGACCTCAGGCTCCCATCTTGATCTAGCAACTAGTGCTTTATGTGAGGAACAGATGGCTTACATTGTGATTTAAGGACCACTGGGAAAGTAGCCATACAATAGTTATTGGATAGATGTACCTATTTACTGTCACAGAGCCTGAAATTCTGGCCTTGGAGTCATGCCTTTGGCTTTAAGCAGGAGACAGTAATTATTCCCAGAAGGGGAGGATAGGAAGCACAAGTTAGGGGTGTTAAGAATTGCTCGTTGAGAATCATTCTAGCCATTACTTATGGAAGAAGTCATATTCTTACATGTCAGGACAGAAAAAGATTGGAATCCATTGGGCTAAGGCATTGCCTTCCCTGGAATCCCCCTGAGATTATATAAAAATCTACTGTAGAGAACAGCCTACTGGGAGGCAGTGTATCGAGAGGGCTAGACCTTGGATTTTGTAGCCAGACTCCCTAGGTCTAAATTTTTGCTCCGTCCATAGTGCCTGTATAATCTCTGGAAAGTCATTACCTTCTCTAGGCTTCATATTTTTTATCTGTAAAATGGATTAACAATTGTACTTAGCTCATAAGGTTATTGTGATGATTAAATGAGCTAATACATCAAACTGTTCACTTAAAGCAGTGTCTTACACTGAGCAAGTACTACAGGAGTCTACAGTTATTAATATTTTGGGGGGTAAATTTGTTTTTTTCCAATTGTTGTTTTCCAAGGCAGTTTGGAATTGACTGGAGCACATCCAGAGCATTTTGACGAAAGGAGAAGGAAAAGATGTTTTGAGCCCAAGATCCCCACCTCCCCACCCCAGTCACTCTGGGTGGCTCTTTTCGGTGGGGTGCTTCTGACAGCCTAACGGCCACGTAGGACCGTGCATGACCCCACAAAACCTGAGTGAGGGAGAAGAGATGTGAGAAAGAGCCCTGTTTTTTGTTAACCATTTTGTCAGGATCTCTAAGCCCGCCATAATCTCTCTTCTCGTTCTGTGTTTCCTTTTAGATGACGTAGAGAGCGATTAGTCTAAGCGGTTGGTGATGAGCCTGTGTTGGTGACATTGTGAGTGCTGTTTATAGAAGTTGCTGGCACTTTAGAGACAGAAAGACCAAGGTTCAAGTTCCGTCTGTGACGTCTACTCTCTCTGTGAGTCTTGATAAACCACTTAACGTGGTTAAGTTAAATTATCAAATGAGCTGCAATCCCTCATTTACCAAACGGGCATGCCAAAATGTGCCTACCTCCCAGAGGGGCGGCACTAATCAAATGTGATGATATGTGTGACAGCAACCTGTAAACTGTAAAGGGTGACATAGATGTGAGTTGTTATTATTCGTGGTTCCTTTAGTTTCCCTGTTCTCTACAAGCGGCCCTGCCTTTTAGCAGCACCTGTGTGCTGTCATCACTTGGCTGTTGATTTTATTTGAGGGCTTCACTCGTAAGCCTGTAACTGGTAATTGTACTCCGGCTTCTCTTGCCGTGGAGATGGTACATGCCCGTTGCTGGACTGGTTCAGGGAACCAATGCTGAAGCTCTGTTTCCATAAGACAAGGAATCCTGACAGTGCTCGGGAGGGGTGATGCTCTCTCCTCCAACTGTGAATCACGCCGTATTAAAAGGAAACTTTTTGGAATCATGAGCTGTTTTGGGGTGATACCGTTTCTCTGATGGTCGATAAAACAATTTCAGAAACCAAGAGAATTAGAGGTTGGCCAGGGTGGAATGAATGCTATAAATCAAGATTACCCGAGGGGATAGGAGAGATGAGGGGTTAGGTTGAGTAAGGAGATAACAAGGGGAAAATATCCAAGGAGCTTGGAAAAATTTACCAACGGGCAACAGCCGATTTTTGAGTACCATGGAAGAAAAATCATTCTGATGGAAACATTTTCACTAGCAGATTCATGTACTAAGATTATGGTTTTCTTAATTTTGCATACCGGCTCAATGCAGTGACATTTGGCTGCCTTGGATTGAAGTGTTACAAGAAAAAAAAGGAAGAGGAAAGAGATGTCACTGTCAGTTGTGGACAGAATCAGATGGGGTCAGATCTGTGCTCTGTGGGTCACAGAAAACATTTTCAAATACCTTGCCTTTCAGGTCTCGATCACGGACAAAAATAGAGCACAGAAGGTGCTTCTTAGGGAAGACTTCATTTTCCCGATCTTTCACAACTGAAAAGTGGAGCAAATGAGTATCTGGGTACAGACCCTTGGCACCAAGTGACTGGGAGTAAATGGGACACTGCAGGGACACAGAACTTTGCCCGTCACTGAGCATATTACCCGAGAAATACAGTACAGACCCAGCAGGCTTCTGCAAACAGCACATCCCTTTAAGTTAATTGGTGCTATATAGAAGCTGAAATGCTCCGCTTATTTACAAAGCTACAGATTTATGTAAAGCAAAACCAATTACACTTAATGCCTAAACTATTCCAGGTGCTCAATGATAATGTTGCTAGGCTCTAGAGAAGAGACTGCGGTGTGAATGCATCCTGTTCCGAATGGAGGCATGTGTAGTTACTGCAATTCAGCTAATCACAAGTGTCAAGCCCAATGTGAGAATTCTAAGCTCTTTTGGTGTTTGCTTTGGGTCAACTTTATAATTCTGTAGATCTCCTTTCATCTCTAAGGACGAGTGAAAGCATAATGAGCACTTTTTTTCCTGTTATCATGTAGAAATTAGGGAGATGAAGGCAAATAAAAAAAAAAAACTACACACGCAACAAAATAAAACAGACCCTTATTCTAATGTTGAGAGAGATTGCCAGAGCTCCTCACTTGGATTAAGGTGAGGTGTTTAAAGGTTTCTTGATATTTTGGATGTTCACAAAACCCAAACTGCAAACGTGGCGTTTGACATTTTGCCGCAAAGAAAACCTCTAAGACATATCCAGAGGTTGGCCTCACCATTTTGCCAGAGAACAAATACAAAAAAAGAAAGATTTGGAAAAGTTACAGGGCAAGAATTCATGTGTGCACGAGCTAGTCTTTTTATTTGTCTGCAAAACGAACAAGCAAACAAAAATTTGTTTGAGTAAGAGAAACACCTGGTGCTTTACAGCTGCTCTTTTGCAATTAAAAATGCATATCATATCTAATCAAGATGAATAAATCTTTTATTCTACAGATCTAAAATATTTTAGGTATACCCAAGGGAGGTGCTTAATTGCAGAACCATTTGCAATCAGCTGATAAACCCACCTATCCTATCCACTATGAACTGTCCTAGAAAGCAGTGGTGCTTATACTTTAGGCAGTACAAGAATGATTTGGCTGTGTATGTTAAAACCACTGATTCCTGGAAAAAGAGTTGGTTAAAGCAGTCTTTGGGAGGGGCCAGAAAATTTTCCTAAAGCAGGTGACTCTCAACCAAACGTTGACAAGCACTGCTGCAAAGGCATGGGGCATAAGTTTATTTTATATTAGTTTATTATTATTATTTATTTTTATTTTATTTTTTTAGAGAGGGAGAGACAGGGAGTTGGGGAGGGACCGAGGGAGAGAGAGAGAGAGAATCTTAAGCAGGCTCCACACCCAGTACGGAATCGGACGCGGGGCTTGATCTCACGATCTTGAGACCATGACCTGAGCCGAGACCAAGAGTTGGACGCTTAACCGACTGCGCCACCCAGGCGCCCCAGTTCATTATATTTCATATGAGTTTCCACATTTCTTTGTTTATACAGAAAGAATTTCTTTTGGAAGATGATTTTGTGAATGGTTCTGAATTGGTAGCACTGCAGACCAAGAATATCAATTAGGTTAGGGAAATGCTTTAAGCGTCTCTATTTGATTTATCACTTACCCTCTTAACACTCATTTCCCCTTCTCCAATTTTCCTTTTTCCTTTAATCATTCCTTCATTTACCTTTATTTTATAACTTCTTCAGTATGTGAATATTCTTTCTTTGTTAAGGACCTCGATTTTAGTTAATATTGCTTTTCAATTCGGAGAAAATTTCCTTAGTTCATATCCATAATGTAACATCAAGATCAGATACAGTAAAATGATGTATAGACTTACTATTTAGTCAGACATAGACAGTATATGCTCCCAAGGCCTGGCATGTAATAAGTGCTCAATAAATGTATAGAAAGGAGGAATGTTAACATACGATTATTTTGATTCTATTAGCACATTAGAACTAACAGTTATAATTTATATTGCTCTTAGTGGCTGAACCAGTATTGTAGGAAGTTGTAAAATATTGTAACATACATGAAATTGTCATTTTGTTGTCATGGAGTAATCACAGGCTTTGAAATTAACTGTAATGTATAATCTGTTAATGCAAAAACATTAATAGGCACAATAGTTTACTAGAGGAGTCATATTAGTCTTTATAAATAAAGTACACAGGTAATACTTGTGAAGTCACTCCCATACATATTAGTTCTTAAACTAAAACGCATAAGATGTTCAGCTGAAGAAAACAATGAATACTTTGCTCATAAGACAGGTAGAGTCAAATATAGTTTCATAGGGCTGTCTCCCAAAGATCAATACTTGAAGAAAATTCCTGCGTACTGCCATAAAATTTCAGAGACTTTTCATGGAGGAGAAGTGTTTCTTCAAGATTACTTCCACTCATGTTCTGGGCATTAAAATGATTTAGATTACAATACCTAAAAAAGAAAGAAAGAAAGCTTTTTTTAGGACCAGATGTAGATGACCTGATAAATCATTTGCTTTCTTCCTGTGCTTGTCTACCTTTTATTATGGATCCATAGATACTTGCACAACAGTGATGATTATTTAAGAGCACTGCTCACCAGAACAGTCTTTACAGAACGACAAAAGGAGTTTTAGGACATGTTAAGGTGTCTCATAAGGACCTTTAGATGGCGCTCTTTTACAACCTGCAATGAGTGGGACAAAGAAACAGACTGGAAAGTCTGAAACCCTATCAACTTGACAGAGTTCATGGAGGCCTGGACTCATGAAATGCTCATCAGATGCACGAGGGATTTGTAAATTCAGTGTTGAACCCATGTGGAAAACACCATGGTCAAAGAAGAAATCCATGACTACATTTCTAGAATGCGTACTCTTTACTCCTGACCCGAGGAACACCTGGTCTTCCCGAGTGTCCTCTAAGGGCCAGGCACCAGGCTAGGCACTATCCCCGCCCTAACTTACTGAATTCTCACGCTAACCCCGGAAGGATGAAATTATCCCCATTTCACAGATAGGGAAACTAAACGTCTAAGACGGTAAACAACTCCCTTGGGGTTCATATGAATAGTAGTCGCAGAGCCTCGGTTTGGAATCGGAGCTCCTTATCCAGAATCCTAGCCTTTTGGCCCTAAAAACACGACTCCTAAAGATGCATATTGTCTTAAACACCTTTGAGTCAGCTTCTGGAGGATTTGAATTTCAGACTGCTTTCCTCCCTGCTGTGTTCCTAGTGCCTTGACCAGTGCCTCATACGCAGCAGATGCTCAAAAATATTTGTTGAACAAATGAATATGGGCTACAAGTTCAATTTTATCAAATACACGTAAGCCTCTGGGGTCAGACATCTATTTCTGATGTGTGAAAGTTTCCAAAGTTCAGTTTACCTTCTTTTCCCTCTCAGTATATTGTGCTAAAAGTATCTGTAAGAGAAGAACATGCTTGAATAACTGGTCTTTTGTCTCCGATTTATGTTGCTTTCAATAATTGTTACAGGTTATGCACAAAAGATTACTGGTATCACTGACAAAATTAGTGCAATGATATCAACTTTAAGACGTGTTTTACAACATTGGGGGAACAGTGGTGTTACAAAAACGAACACCCCTTTGCCCTCCCTCCTTAAAACATCTGTAACATCTTTTTATTTTAGCATCTAATGTGAGATACATATTTATATTCAGCACTATAGAGATGTTTATATAATACTTTTCAGCTAGGGAAGCCATTTCGTCTACCCACTTCCTTCACCCCCAACCTGGAGACCCTCAAGTATGACATGTTACCATGGCCCTATTTCAGATTTGATGGAGGAGGACTCTCATAAAGACAGAGTCAGAGGTCTGTGTTTTGTTTGTTTGTTTGTTTGTTTGTTTGTTTTGGGGTATGTGTGTGTGCGTGTGTGTGTGTGTGTGTGTGTGTACAAATGAAAAATAAGTCTGGTCTGACATTAATAGATAATTCCTAACCATACTCTGTTAGATGATATCCCAGTGACCCTGACAAGATTCGTTTGGTTCTAGGACCCACACTAGGATTGCATCACACTAATATAAAATTCATGGTGGAGCTGCCCTCAGGTGCCAACACAGACCAAAGGCTGCCTGTATATTGGTGAGGATGCTGTTTCACAATTAATATGCTGTTCTCAAAATTTTAGGGACAAGAATGACTTGGGATTGTCCTGCTCTTGATAGATTTGCCACTGTTATGTGGCTCTGAACACCACTGGGTTTGGTCAAAATTGGATGGTGACTGGATGTTTATCATAATCAAGTGCTATCAGACTCCTAAATATGTTTCAATAATACTGTCCCTAGAATACCTGTGTTTTCTCCTGTTTCTTTGACTACTTATTGTTTGTTAGTGTTTGACAATCACAATCAGAACAGAAATAAATCAGAATCATTCACTCCTCACTACAGACCCTGATGCCCTGCTACTGTAAGTTCCATATGATTTCTTGCCCTTCTGGCTTGGCCTGTCCCACCCTAACGGCCAAGAGATACCCAAGGTAATGTGTGTCTTTCTGTCAAATTTTTCGGACTCTCTTTTCTTCTGATATGTGACACCCGTTCTTTCCCTACGGAGTGGCTGATCAACAGGTGACAGTGGGTATGGTTACTTTAACTGAAGGGACTGGTTTCTTTCCTACCCACCAGAGTCAAGGGGTTGTCACAGAGCAGGTAGACAGCTCCTCTAAGGCACTTAGAAATAGCACGCTATACGAGAAAGTGTTCATAAACAAACACACATGGGTTTGAATCCTAGGTGTGTGAACCTAATCAACTTACTTGCCTAGATTCTTACTTTGGTTTTCTTATTTATAAAGTAAAGTGATAAGATTTAGGTAGCAGGGAGGTGGTGGAGATTAAATGTCATTTGTGTGTCTTGCAGGCTGCCCAAGATACAGAAGTGCTCAATACTTGGAAGATTAATTTTCTCCCTTCTGCTTTGTTTTATCCTTTCTCTCTTTTTCCCCCCTTTCTTCAAAAAGTATACAGAAAAAGGGGGGAAAGCATAGGGAACTAGAGAAGATATACTAAGAATCAGATTTATTTCTAAATAAATCTACTATTACTTAGTCCCTTCTCGTCTTTGGCTCCTCCAATATTTGGTGCTTTGTACAATTTTATTCTTGCCTCCTCCTCTGCACCCCACTCCACCATCTTTCACTTCATTATAGTAATTCACATGTTCAACAATCACAGAGAAAAAATCACACTTAAATAATTTAACTTGAGCACCAGATATTAGCTCCATGTAGACAGGTACTCTACCCTCTTTGGTTCTATTTTTTCTAGTGCCTAGAACAATGCTTAATAGATTGGTTGAATGAATGAATGAATGAATGAATGAATGAGTAAATCCCTGAGCTCATAGTTTCTGGGTCCAGTGCTAGTTCGTCCATGAATTCAGCCCATAATCCTGGTCATCTTGGCCACACCTCTGCATGAGTCTAGAAGAATTAAAAGGAGGAAGCAGGGGGCATAAGGCAAAAAATGAGGTCATTGTTATTACTGTAGCTAAGATTTTTGAGCATTTTCTCATCCTCACAACAACTTTATGGCACAATTACTATTCTTATTATTATTTCATTTTACAAATGAAGAAATGGGCTTAGCAAGGTTGAGTATCTTGCTTACGTTTGTACAGCTAAATTGTAGAACTGGATTCACCTAGGCTAACTTGAAAGATTGCTTTTTAAACTACTTTGTGAAAAGACAAGGGTCCAATCTTACAGTGGGAGAAAAAGTAAAAGTTGAGAAACTGCAGGTTTATGAGAATTGGTAGATGGTCACCACTTATGTGTTTGGAGGCAATGGGTGGAGGGGAAAGATGCTTTGCCTTCACCTTCAGTTTTCATTGATGACTCTATTTTGCTACAAAGCTGAGGACATTCCTGTTGGATTCTTCTGCAAGACTCTCTGATACTCTAATTTGGCTTTCAATCCAAGAATGAGATAGGTATGTTAGAGAAACTATACATTGTGGGGGATTAATTCACTAACTTACACACTTTGGAAGGTAAGAGATTTGAAAATTCCAGGGAGCCATTAAAACTTTTGATTTTGGGGGCACCTGGGTGGCTCAGTCGTTAAGCGTCTGCCTTTGGCTCAGGTCATGATCCCAGGGTTCTGGGATCAAGCCCTGTACCGGGATCCTTGCTCCACGGGAAGCCTGCTTCTCCCTCTCCCATTCCCCCTGTTTGTGTTCCCTCTCTCGCTGTGTCTCTCTCTGTCAAATAAATAAATAAAATCTTTAAAAATAAAACACTTTTGATTTTGTCATAATGGGATTTAAGCACCTCTCTCCTACACTGGACCCAAAAGCTCCAAGAGAGCAGGAGCATAGTAGCGCTAAACATTTACTGACTTACTGACTTCTGGTCCTTCTAGTTTACTGCAGTACCCATCACATGACGGTGTTCCAGCAGAGATTTAGTCAATGAATAAAAGAATGATTTAGGCAAGGGAGAAGTGACAATGGTGGGATAAAATATGACTAAATAGATAAACGAATGGAGGAAAATGAGAAAAATAAAGATCTCTGTAGTTTCCACAATGTGGTAGACATTGTGCTCGGCCCTTTACCAAAATTCATCCCTAAAGCCCGCAGGATGTTGGTATTCTTGATTTTATTTTACAAGTATAAAAACAGAGGCTCAGAGAGGTTAGACAATTTGCTCAAAAGTACACAGCTATCCAAGAATATGTCAGTGAGAGAGAGAGGTAGGCTGGTGATGGATGGATGGTAGATGATACATATTAAGCCACGGAATGGTCTCAGGTGACTGACTAAATGATTTTGCAGTTTGTTATTGACCTTGAAATGGTCACTGCTAATTTAAAGGCCTGAATGGAATCCAAATCTTAAGCATCATTAGATTTCTAGCTATTTGTTTAATGGTATTTGCTTTTAATGATAATGACTCATTCATTCTTATTATCAATATGGTTATTTCTAATTCAAAAGTGGTACCATACAGTGGAGAAAAAATATCTTCCTTCAGAACATGTTTTAGAATCAAGTAAAGCACTATTTTATTATAAGGATCAATGGCAAAAGTGAAGTCTAAATTGAAATTTCTTGCTCTGAATAATCTGTTAAATTTCTCTAATATGCTAATTTGTCCAGTCATGGCATACAGGATTCCCTTTGGCTCAGTGATGGTTCCCAGATCAATATTTCATGGACTCAGAAATTGCTTGTCTTACCACACACTTACCTTTGTGAAACACTCCAGAATCCCAGGACGTTCAACAACGTTAATGATGCCAAAAAGAAGAAGAAGCTTTCTAAATTGCCTTTGTTTAATGTGTTTGGAAACCAATTGCCTGTTTGGAACAAATGTAATTGTTATTCAACTGCAGAGCTGTTAAGTTTCTGTGAATGTTTTATCATTCCGCTATTCATAGAGATTTATTCGCTTCAATAATATCTACAAAGCAAAAAAGCTCATCTTAAACTCATTGTCAAAATTCATTTAATTCTGTAATTAACAGTAAAACAAACAAAGCACCCCAAAATATTTTGAAGGTCACAAAACCTGAATTTGCATAACACAATATGGGTTCAGAGGAACTGAGCTATAAAAGTAACCCTGATTATGCTAATTTACCAGAACCATGTATATATATCTTATTCATCCTTATATATCTAGTATCTAGAACAGTGCCTGACACCATAGGAATTGCTCAGTAAATATACACTGAATGAATGAAAACTATTTATCACAGCCAGATAGTCTGTTGCATATTCTAATTGTAAGGTTAGTGACATAATAAACGTAGATGCCAGATGTTACATTATTTTGACAACTTAGATAAATCCAATATCACCTCATTATAATATCACAGACCCCACAGGTCAAATTACTTGCAATCTCTGGTTGGCATGAACGTATTTTTTTGACCTGATAAGTAATGCCTTCAAATGAATACTTCTAAATAAGATACCCCCACTTTTTTATGATGTCAAACTGCTATATACAAAACTATTACATGAGTATATATGAAACTATTTAGGATTCAAAGTAATTGCTTTTATTTTGCTGCTAAATTTTGACTTTTGCTTTGGATCTTTGCTATAATTCTCTCTTTCCATATCCAAATCCATATCTATATGTATCATCTCTATTTCTACACACACTCCATTTTCCTTCAGTGGATTTGAGATATTATTATTTAATACATTATATGAGATAATGTATTATATATGCAACACTTATTTTTATGCAGTACTTTTAAAACAACAATGGGATCTTAGTATTAACAAATACAGATACATAGTATCACAGAATGTTAAAAAGATTGTTCAAAAGGCAAAATCTATCTTAAAGTTCTCTTAAGAGAACTTAAATTCAATTGCAGTTCTGAGTGGGCAGAATATTTCCAAAAACAAGTTATGCATCATGAGAACAAGAATTAATCTTCTTTGAGCAGTCAGATGCCAAAATTCTGGCATTTTTTTGTTTTTTGTAGGAGAAGATCCTACAGTGGGTTGTGAAGAGAGGTGTGAGACTAGAGCAATCAGTCTTCGTGCCAATAGACTTGATCTTCAGTGCTATCTTTGGTACATGGGTTGTGAGTTGCTTCCTGAACTAGAAAATGGTTCTTGGCCTTTCCCTTGACAGTGCATACTTTTAAATGAGATTTGAATTAAATGCTCTGTTCAGGGTTGATCGTCAGCAAGTACATAAGTATGACAGCTGTGATTCATTGTGCCACTTCCCATTTAAAGCTGCTTCTCTTCTGTCATTTAACAATGATGATTATTATGGACCAACCATGAAAATTAGCTTGTTTTGGACATATAATTGAAGTCTGGTATTGAGTTGAAAGCTATGTGGTAAGTTCTACTTCCCCATTTTATTAATTTATGTTCCATTACAATAGAAATGTATGTTGTTATTGCTATGTTGACATAATGCCTTCATTTGATAGGAGTAGTTTCATAGAATGTTTCCCTCTGTGTCTGTGTATTGGGTCTCTGTAGCCTGCTGTGTGTGTGTGTGTCTCTGTGTGTGTATGTGTGTGTAGAAACTACACATTTGATTGTACTTGAATGGGGGGAGTTGGGGGCAAGTCAAGATAAGGTGAGATAACATCACACATATTTTAAGGAAGAACTAAACCACCTTGCTAAGCTTATTTAAACAGTCTTATTTCCTTATTTCTCTTGAATTAATATCACAATCATATTTCTGTACTTTTCATTTCACATCTGCACTTTGCATATGATGTGATTAGACCATTTTATCACCATGTTTCTCTGGCTAGACTAAGAGGAGTTTGTACAGAGTATGCGAAGCCTCAGAATTAACACGACACTAATTTTTCTTGGAGCATGAATTTTGGTCCACAATAAGTAATTGAAAAGGCTATCTTTATATTATAACAAAGTCAGATGAGGGAGAAGAATATAAATTTTGTAAGATCTTTAAAGGTAAAACATAATATTTCTAAAAAAAAAAAAAAAGTGCAATTACAGCAAATACCGGCCTATCCGGACACGGCCCCCGCTCGCCCTGCGCATGCCCGTGTGCTTAGAACTGTCACTGCGGGTATTGCGGTGGGCACAAATGAGAAGCGCTGTGACTTGGAACTAGGGGCGTGTGGGGTGATGGGAGGATGTCGTGCTGGAAAGGTTAAGGAGAAGCAGTGGGAATTTACAAGTAATACAAAACATTTTGTGAGTGGAGTTATTTAAAAAATAAAATGAAAGATTGCCATATCACCTATTCAAACTCCTGATAACATTTCTATAGTCTTGGATACCATTTTTAGTGTTCAGCTTCCTTCCTCATGCCAATCTTCATGCTATCCCATATTTTTGCCTTACTTAGCTATAATTTTACATTCCCTATGTAGCTAATGTACATGGTGAGTTCCAAGGTAAGGAGAACAATGACCTGAATTGAAAACATGGAATACACACTAGCATCAAGTTGGACAGAGAGATACTTCATGAAACCTAAAATTTGTTCTATTAATATAGAGATTATCAGTCTATGTAAAGAGATAGCTTTGGGTGTGAAGAGACATAGAAAGAGCATGGGATTTGGAGGCAGAGAGACTTTTGAAGTCAAATATTGTCTCTGTTATTTAATCGTTTTGTTTTGGGGCATTTGCCCAATCGGACCACTTCAGCCTCGGTTTCTCCTCTCTAAAATGACAACACAACCTTTCTCACAGAGCTGTTATGAGAAGTAAAAGAGATAATAGATGTCAAGGGTTGGACACAGAGGAGGCACTCCATAAACTCTAGATTATCACCACCCCCCCATGCCTTAGAAGTGGCTCATACAAAACCATGTAGCCTGAGCTTGATCTTGGACCCATTTCCTCTCAGATATTTCTTCATGTGCCATTTTTTTTTTTAAATCATTATCCCAGGACTGGTTGTAAAATGTTCCATTTAACATTGTCAGTTGACTCAGCTCTTAGGTTCTATAACTTTATTTTAGTAGCTTATAAACTTTTATTGTCATAATTCACATTTGTGCATTTTTCATCTGACATTTCTAGTAGCTGATTGAAATCTGGGGCATCCTTGCAAAAAGAGACAAAGAGAAGACATCAGATCTAGAATGGGATGAACTAAACTTCTCCAGATCTTAGCTTGGATGGGTAGGAAGGTTAAAAACACGAGAAAAAGTGCACCACATAAACAGTGGGGAACAGTAAGTGCCATATGTTAATACTCACAGTGAACCCTAGTCAAGTACTTTAATAGTATAATCAGCCTAGTTAGTAATGAGTTTTGGACCACTGAGCAATAGAACATTCACAAAATATTTTGCATGGCTCAGAAGTTCTCCAAATATTTCTTGTTCAGTTAGATCTATTTGTTCATTTGAAAATCATTTGTTAAGAAGTTTTCATGTACCAGGAAACAGGCATTCCAAGTTGCTTAAGAAAAGGAGCTCATAGATTAGTAGGGGAGACATGCAAACAGATAATTTTACTCTGGAGTATTAGACTTTATAGATACTAAGTAAAATGTTCCTATTTATTTTAAATTATCATGGTCATCTTAGAAACAAAGGGACAGTGGAATTATCTAAACTAGTTCTTGTATTTTACAGATTAAAGAGAGAAGGCTCAGAGAGGTAAATAGAGGCATTGCTCAGTAGAACCTTCATCTTCTTACAACTGTGCTGCTAAAGCCCCCACTGATGCTAATAGAACTATGTTACTACAAACAACACAATGTTGCTAGTATGAAAGAGGAATATACTTTATTCTTGTCCCATATTATGCCTTACATTGTAAGGCCCCAAATTTCATGTGCTGCCCTCATGTCTTTGAGCTTCACAAGGTCCCAAAGTCCTAACCACATGGTTCTCTGCTCTTTCAGATGCACTCCCCACCCAATGGGAAGTCCTCCCCACCTGGCTAGCTCCCCTGTTAGCCAGACCACCTGCCTGCTACTGGTCCTCACCCTAAAGTTTTCAAACAGGCAACCACATCCTCCTGCAGGACCCAGGAGTTGCCTCCCTGTTTTGCTCCTACCAAGCCTGCTCTCCACAGTCCCTTGTTTACTCTACTCCCAAGTGCAGCCCCCAGACGGCCCTGCATGGCACGTTCTCTTGCCCTGGGCTGTGAGTATATGTGACTAATAAACTGCTGTCAGTACATCGCTCGTGTCAGGTGTCGTATTTTCAGCCATCTTTTCTTATTTAGGTTGAGGATCCCTTCCACACCAAACAGGTGAATAGGGGGTGATCAGAACATGCCCCCACACAGAAATCAAGGTCAGTTCTAAGCAGAATACTGGCAGCTGCTGTTACTCTAATTCATAATTACTGCTTTGAGGAGGAGAAGTAGCAATTCCATATTCCATTCTAATCAGTACCCAACACCAAGTACCTCTGCTTCTAGTACCGCCTTAAACCATAAGACAGGAAGTAGGGGGAGTGTGACCATCAAGGTGTACTGCATTCAGGTAGCATAGCTCCCAAAGAAAAGCATCATGGGACACTACATCAAAAACTAATGGTGTAATGTATGGTGATTAACATAACATAATAATAATAAAAAAAAAGCATCATAGATGAATGTGAGTTTTAGGGAGCACCCGATAGTCATGTATGCTTGAGACCAGTTTACAATCACGTCATTTGACTAGATTGTTGGACAACCAGGAAACAGTGTAAAATTCTCACTCCAGCCCAGCAGTCTGCTCATCATAGTAACTTGGGGTTTTAATGGGTGCACTTTCACAGAAGACTTTATTAAAAGTAAGGAAAATGACAGAGGCTAAGGGAATCCACATACATTCTTTATTGGTAAATACTGCCTCCCAGTAAATCTCTTCTTTCAAAGACGACTAA